AGTCCTCTAGATATGATAGTCCTTCTGACTATCTGGATTGATACTTCACATGCCTAAGGGGGCTGTGAGTTTTCAGAAACTGAGCAGTGAGCAGCCTGGGATAGCCACAGGGGGCATAGATGCCAAGAGGGATACAGGTGGCAGAAGCTCAGGCTCATAGAGGAGAAATGAGCAGGATTCCAGAAGTGGACAGCTTTCTAGAAGTGATATGCTCAGTATATTTTTATTCACTGGTTTATGGACTTCTTTGGCAAGGATGCATTCTAATGAGGTCTCTTTGGAAGAAAATTTCCATGGTCCAAGATGCTGGGTCTTAGACTTGATGGAACTGCTGCTGAGTTATAATGGCCTCTTTTTGTGCAGATGTGTTCGTGAAAGAGTCACAGACACTATCAGTAAGGTTGCTGGTGCAGAGTAAAAAGCAGACATTCAGGGTTAATCTGAGAGATGAGTGTATGGGCCAGGAATCTGCATCGCTGACCTGTGGACATATCTGGGCTGTCCTTAGGCATTGAAGCAAATTGAGTTTGAGCAGTAGGTTCTGGTGGTGGTAACAGTAATGGCTCTGGAGCCAGACCGCCTGGATCTGAATCTTGGTTCCATCTCTCAATTGCTGAGTATTATCATGGCCAAGACACTGAATTTTCTGCACCTCAGTTTCCTCCTATGTAAAGTGAGAATTATTAATACCTTCCTGATGGCTATCCCAAGTATTGAATGTGTTAATACACATATAGCTCCCAACAAATATTAGATGATGATGATTGAACATAGCTCCCTGTAAGTATTAGATGAGGAGGAGAAGGAAAAGGATTGAATAGGTTAGTATACGTATAGCTCCCAGTATTAGATGATGACAGCCACCACCACCAACAGTCATTACAATGGGCCTGGCAGTCAGGAGAAAGTGTGCGGTAGGGTAGAGGTGCCTGCCCCTTCTCCTTAGTCAGGGATGCTGTGTACCTCCCCATAGGACACCATCCAGTTGCAGCCCAAATGACTAGTCAGCTCTCCCCCTTCTCTTAGAACATTGCTCTCCAACCACTTAATTGGCACTGAATCGTGGCTGACCTTGATGGTGGAGACCCAGAAGACAGGAATGGTGTGTTCTTCATCCAATCCTAGAGTTGTACAAGATCTGGGGTTTTTAGCAGACAAGGGCCTGAGAGTTCTGCAGAGGATTCTTTTTACACAGAAAGTAGGATTCTTCTTAAAAATGGTGGCGGGTTGGGGGGGGGGCCGGCGGGAGAGGGAATTTATGGAAACCTGAAGGTCACTGGCACATGCAGCCAGGATTGCTACTCTAGAATTTGGCCTTATTAAAGCCATCACGTTCCTCAGGGTTATTTTTCTCCTTGCACAGATTTAGCTTCAGGCCAACATAGCCTGGTTTTCAGGTTTGTAATACCTTGACCAGACGCGAAGCCTTTTCTCCTACAGTGTCTCCTGGTGAGGAACGTGCATAGCTACATAGGTATGCAGTGACCAAGGGCTTGGTGGTTGCTGAAGGCTATGTAAAGAGAGAGAGAGGAAGAGAGGGAGAGAGAGATCATTATACTCTCCATTCTGTTAAGAATCTCACCAAACTGGCCCACCGAGTTATTGAAATAGAGGAAGCCATAAGTAGCAACTGGAGGAAAGATCAACCAGCCAGCCTACTGGTTGAGGATTTTTTTTTTCCCCCAAAAAAGACATACATTGCCAGGAAAAGCTAACAAAAATTTCAAGGCAGATTTAGAGGAATTAAATTATTCTTAGGCATACTGCCTGGTTTCCAGGCATTTAGGGATATGTAAATTTTCATGTTCTTTAGAGTTCTGTGTCTCATTTGTACAGAGTACATTAGTACTAAAAATGAGATTTGCTAGTTCTACATTTTTGTGTGAATTTATGCAGTGAATATTTAATTGGATTCTGAATCTAGCAAAAGGAGAGGCTGTCTTCAAGCATAATATAGTTTATTTTTCTCATACGCTCTGATAGTCGCTTTAATTTTTTTTCTGACACCTGAAATACAAAGTAGAATACTACCTCAGCTTAATATTCTTGCCACACAAAGACTTCCAGTGTTTGTTTTTGCTTCTTTTAATATGTAACTCTCCTAAGAGTGTTATTGTGTTACAGCTAAGAGGCTTTAACCATGTAAAGTTGAATTCTTTACACTTCTAATGCCAACGTAGCAATTAATCTGTGATTAGATTTTGCTTCCTAAGATGCCTACCCTTGAAGACTGCCTATAATATTAAACTTCTAAAGTTTTCCATGCTGTAAAACTTATACAAGCAGTCTTTGATACAGCACATCGTAATTTTGTGGCTATTATTTTTATTGCTTTATTGTTCAGCCAGCTTAACCGAAACCTTTAGGTTGCTTTTAATCTTTATAATAAAGATAACGTTGAGAGATGAATGGAGTGCAAAGTGTGTATGTGTGCACATTGTTGTATTGGCAGTGCAGGCACTGATTTACTAACTCTCTTCGAGAGCCTTTAACTCTAATTCCTCTGCCTCCACTGTGTTAAAAAAACAAAACAAAACAAAACAACTTTCATTTCCCATTTCTTTCTCCACTAAGCTATCTTCATAGAGTAATCTGTAGTAACCCTCTCTACTTCCTCTTCAGTTCCTTAACTCCTTAAAATTCTAGTTACTATCCTCAATACTACTAGACTAACTTTCTCAGAAGTCAGTGATGATTCCACAATGGACAGAGCCTTGCCTCAGTTTCCCTTTTCTGGAAGCCACTGCAGGATTTAGTCATAGGTATCACCTTTTCCTACCTGAATCGTCATATCTTTCGTTTCCAGGACACTGCATTGTCTCCAGACGTTGACTCTACATTCTCAGTTGCATTCACTGAGTCTCAATGTTTAATCCTGGGGTCATTTTTTAAACTATAACCTTTTTCCTTATGAGTTCCTCCATTCCACTGAGTTCAGCCTTGTCTTATTTGCAGCTGATTACCAACTCTCCAGTGTGTTCCTTCTCCTGAATCACAAACCAGGTTTTATCCACCCATAAGCACGCTTGCATTTGGATGACCAGCATCACCTTAAGCCCACCAGGCCTCCTGGCTTCCCTTTTGCCTGGTACTGATAGCTAAATATTCCTTATTAACACAGCATCAGGCACCTTTTTCTCCTTCCTCGACTCATATTTCAGCATTGCCACATTCCACATGCTTTCTGTGCAATGTCTCTTACTTCAGTCCTCCCCTTTCCATACCTTCTGCTACCACTTGCCCAGACCACTGCGATACGCCTTTGACAGCTTTCCTCACCCTTTCTAGTCCTACACCAGGCTTTCCTATGCGCTATGATTTGACCGATATTCTTCGAGTGCAGCTCTGATCCTATTGCATCCCTTTATCCAAGCTTTCTCAGTCGCTCCCCACTGTAGTCTGCATGACTCACAAACTCAACACAGGCATGCATGAAGTCGAACGACCCCTACCTCTCTTTCTGACCGGGATCCGATGCTCCCTCTTTGGCTCCAGATGGATTGGGCTCCCTGTTCTAGCTCTTCCCAGAATACTTGCTCAGTCACTTCTGTACCAAAGGTCATGCCACACATTCCATTCTGTTTTCGGATTTATACAGTTAGATGTTGTCTGTCCTTCATTTGAACTCCATAGCATTTAGTGTCTGTGACCTCCTTACATTTACCTAGTGTTATTGTGTACCAGTTCCTTGTACACCACCAGTCTTACCTCTGAGAAATTGCCACATGCCAACGCCCCTCCCACCCCTGCCCAGTCCAGTGTTCATAGAAGGCAGAGACTGTGTCACTAAAATATGTTGTGCATATCACGTGTAGCATGCTGGCCTGTATATATTTACCGAATTGATTAAGAACTTGTTGAATGGAAATAGAAATTCAAATTCACACAGATGGCAAAGTGTGATGTTCATTCATAAGTCTTGTTTTTCTTTTGCTAGGTAAAGCTCGCATGTGGAGTGCAACAGTAAAATCAGACGACAGATGGATAGTGTGACAAGAGTGTCAGAAAGGATTGGGCCTCACTGTGAGAGTCAGCCTGGAGTCAAAGTGTTGACAAGTTGCTGAAAAGGAAGCCAGTGGGAGGACTGTGGCCTGCAGAGGAAGTGGAGCCCTGTCTTCAGTCACACCATTGATGAAGGACAGATGGACAGCCAATGGCCAATCACCTCTCTTCTTAAGCCTTTGGAGAGTTGTCCTTTGTCCTCTGCTGGACACGTATTAGGAATCTTAACATACTCTCTGAATTCACTTTCCATAGAAACGTAAAATTAGACTTCAGTGTGTTACCAGACTCATCTGTTGCATGGTCACAGATTTGCAAACATGAGTGCCGAGGGGTACCAGTATAGAGCACTGTATGATTATAAAAAGGAACGAGAAGAAGATATTGACTTGCACTTGGGTGACATATTGACTGTGAATAAAGGGTCCTTAGTAGCTCTTGGATTCAGTGATGGACAGGAAGCCAGGCCTGAAGAAATTGGCTGGTTAAATGGCTATAATGAAACCACGGGGGAGAGAGGGGACTTTCCAGGAACTTATGTAGAATATATTGGAAGGAAAAAAATCTCGCCTCCGACCCCAAAGCCCCGGCCACCTCGACCGCTTCCTGTTGCCCCAGGTTCTTCAAAAACTGAAGCAGAAAGTGAGCAACAAGGTCAGTATTGATGAATGATTGCTTAAGGACTCCCACCACCACCCCCTCTTTTTTTTTTTTTTTTTTTTTTTTTAAGGAAAGGTTTTAGGTTTGGGTTGAGCTAAAATGCTCTAGGCAGAAGTCGTTTTGGCAGTTTTACATGAATTTTATATGGTGCATAAAAGCTTAGTCAGTCATTATATGGCTAGAAATTTATGTTTGTGGGGTGGAGGGTTATAAAATAGGGAGGTGGTATCTGAGAACCTGCTTAGTGAGTGTCTTTAAACACCACTGTTGTAGTTGTCCTTGAATTGAATTAAATACCTATTGCATTCTTATTCTTATAATTGGTATTACATATCTAAATCATTTGGGAAAAGTAGAGGGTAAGTCTAATATAAGTATCTTAACATTAATGTGATTTGTATGGAAAAATGTAGAGAGTAATAAAATGACCACAAAACTCAGCGGAGAAGAAACCATTGTTTTTATAACCTGGTGTCTACCTCTTGATTTCCTTTCCAAGAACGCTGTGGCTGCAGCTGAAACCCAATCCTGTAGTTAGTATGGATGTAGAGGGAGTTCTCTTCCTTCATGGGCAATGTCATTTGTAGCATGAATGCCTATAGTGTACTTGGCCTTCATGAGAACAACAACAACAAAAAAATCGCTGAATACTTTTCTTAAATGGAAACCACATTGATTCAAAACCCACTCATTGTTTATTGGAGGTGGTCCCACACTGGAGTTTTGTGCACAGCTGTTCATTTTAGGTTGTCTTTTTCTGTTCAGTTTCACACAGTGACAAGCCTTTTACTCAGCTTTACTGTTATCAGCTTTGTCAATTCACTTCCTCACTAGTAAATTTCAAGCCTTTTTTATTCTTTGTGTAATCTTTTTTTTTTTCTCAGAGGCTAAGAAGGTATGGAAAGATATGTTTAAATTGGGTGGACTAAATGGCAGTGGTTACATATTGATTAGAACTGACCGTGGTATTACAATGTATTTTTGGAAGAGATACTGATACTATTATGCCTTTTTTAAGGTTGGCTTATTCTAAGAATAATGGATGAGGAGGTAACAAGAATAAAGAAGTGGAATATAAGGATAAATAGCTGCCTTTTAGCTTAGAGTAATAATAAGATTTGGAATATTTTGTGAAAGTCCAAGAATTTAGTAAGAATGCCTGAAGGGAAGTGCTTTTCCCTCTCTTGCTGGACACAAAAGAGATACGTGTTTCATAAATGTTACACCGTACTTTATAATAATGTCCAAATAATATGTTTTGCTATATTGTTCAAAAGCAAAATTTAATGTTTTGTTGGTTAATCAGAAAATCTTGACACTCACATATATATGTAATTTTTGTCAACCATTGTGTTTCTTACATAGTTGTACTTGGCACATGGAAGGTATATAGACAGTTGGTTTTTTCCACCAAACTACATATTTTTAATTAGAAACACTTCATTCTAAGTAGACTGATTCAAAAGGAAAAGTGATTTAATTTATCCCAGAATACAAAAAATTACAGAGTCATAAAAATATCTGAGTTGGATTAGAAAAGATTATTTAAAAGGTAGAAAGGGGTAACTTGTCAAGACTAGTGACAAAAAGATTTTGTAAAAATAATTTCTAAACAAAATTGCATTTCATAACTGCTGTCAGGTGTGACTTTATTTGAACATAGTATACAAGAAAGCAAGGCTTTTAAGAAAAGTGATTTTTTTCTTTTTAGGTCTAAACTCTTATAATGCTTTTTTTTTGTAACATGGAAAAATTAAAATTTTTAATACCTTTTTAATTTTTTAAACAATCGTAGAAAGGTGGAGTAAAATGAAAAATTTTAGCAGAATTTAAGAAACAAACCCACGATAATGTGCATTAAAATATTGGACAGATCAGGCCTGAATGTAAATGAGAAATTAGGAATAATTGAAAGGTTGAAAAGGCATTGGTGAGTTTAGGCAGAAAGTGTAGTACTCAAAATTAGATTCTCTAGAAATGTTAATCTCGTATTCTCATTTAAATACTATTCCTATGAAATGAGGATTTTATCGCTCCTACTAATTACATGTCAAATTGATGTGGAAACTAGTTGTAAGGACAAATTTATATTTTGGAACCTATGGGATTCTGACTTCTTTTGCCTAAGTATGTATTGATTTGAAAAGCTTTTGCAGTGACAAAGTGTGCAAAGGCGAGAAGGGATAGTTCTTTTCTCTTCTTACTGTAATTGAATTCTTTAGCTCTTTTTTCCCTTTACTCTCCCACATGACTTAGCCTGTTTTTCGTGATTGACTGCCTTTATTTTATTTAGAAGGTTACCTCTGAGGTCTAAGGACTACACGCAGCTCTCTTTTGTTGAGCTGGTGTCTTGTGGACAGTTGGCTAAACCCCGTAGTGAGCATGGGGGAAACAGGGTGCTCAGAACTGCCTGCCTGCTAATCATGGGCACTTCATACTCCGCTCTTGCTACCTTCTCTCTTTTTAAAAGAAAATTGTCATTAGACTCTGGCCCAAAGTAGATTCTATGTGAGAGGTCCCTCCTTTTATAATAGAAATCACTTTTCCACTTTCCTTATATGTTCCTAGCAATAAAGCTGTGACCTTGAACTTTTGGGGGGAAAGAGAGGCAAAAAACCCATTTGAAAATCTCACATACAGCTCCTCTCAAGAAAATATACCTTTCGTCGCTACATTTAGTGCAGTTTTCTTACAAAGCCCTAGCCTATAGTTTGGATTAAATATGTGTGTTAGGTAATCTTGTATCTATCAGAATTTGAGTAATTTAGTAAACGTGAACTGCATCCTTATTTTGTGCTTGGAAACAGGAATGAAAGATGAAATGAAGACTCAAGATGCAGCTTGCCTTCTGATGCCTTCTCCTGTCCCTGTCACTCAGGGCTGGGCTATGTCCCCTCTGCTTGGACAACCCTTAGGGACATCCCTTTGCCCAACCCACTCTCCCCTTTTGCTGAAATCTTTCTTCTCATGGAGGCTGGCTCTGCTCACCTTTTTTCATGTGGCAACCTGTCCCTCTGCTTTTGCAAAGTATTTATGATCTAAATGGTCATAGAATTTACCTACCACATTGATTGTGTATTGCCTGTTTCCTCTGATAGATTGTAAGCTCCATGAGTGCAGGGATCTTGGTTGTCTCTCCATTATTCCAAGTATCTAGAATAGTGCAGGAGGTTCCCTGCAAGTAGATAAACACTTGTTATTGAAGCTCATCTAGCTATTTCATATCTTACATGACTTTTGAAATTAACTACATGCATTATATGTCGTGTTTGGGCACATAAACTTATAACAGCCCATCCCGTTTTTGAAATCTCGGTTTATTTTTACATATCATTCACATTTGAGGAATCTTGCAGCCTTGGCATTGACCATTGCCTGCTCTGTCTCCAGAACTGTTTTTTTTTTTTTTTAACCTCATGCATAGGACAGGTAGTTCTGCTTGTGGGAAAGTATATTAAGCTCATGGTGTGTTCTGTCAGCCACTTAAGCAAAGTGAGTAGAACATGTGTCAAGGTCAGTGAGTGTCCTTGGGCACAGATTTTTTTTGCCCTGTCTCCCCAGCTTTTATCTCCTTCCCTTTGCACGAGAGCTAAAATTTTGATATGAGTGTCACATTTTATTTTCCCACAATCCAGTAAAGCCCCATTTTACCCTCTTCGGAGAGAACCTCTTCCATGTTTTGTACAGGTGGAGGGTGTGATGGGTGTCCAAAATGGGTGTATTTCCTGCCCCTTAGGAGAAGCGTGCTAATGAAAGACAGTATGCTAGCTCTTTCTGCATTAGGCCGTTCAGACACTGTCATTTCATTGTCTTGTTAAAGCCATTCAGCTGTGGTTCTATATTTCGTCTCACAAACAAAGAAATGAGTTGATGAAGGTAGGGATTTAAGGAGAGGGGAATGAAAATGTATTTCTCCCTTTCATAAGTGAGCTTGTCCAGTAGGGCTATTTTTCCAGACAGGATTTTGAGATCCTATATTTAAAACCATGTTAATGCAGAATATTTAGCCTAGTGAAATTCTGTGACCATATTAGTTTGTATGGAACACTGAAATCTGCTAACTTGAGAGATCACTTATGAATATGAGTTTATAATTCATGTCCATCCCCGTCTACACACCCCTCCTCATCTTACACTTTGGACAGTGGGTCCCAGGTCCCATCTGGTTTCACATATAAAACATAAAGCAGGCATTTTGTGTGACTTGTTTTAAATTGTGATAGAAATTCTTTCTAAACAGAAAAGAAAAAAGCTTGCAATTTATGTTTGCTTTCATGGTTTCCCTAGCCATGTTATTTTCACATTTTTCACACTCAGCATTTGAGTGTCCCTCAGTTGTCACTCCCCATCTAGAAAGCAAAGCTATAATAAATCATGTAAATTGACGACACTGTACAGAGGTCACAGAAGATAGCAACCTGATCCCAAATTACACACCTTTGCCGAGCCCCATGATCATAATGTATTGTCATTCTTCACAGAAATAGTACCTGTGAAAGTAATTTGCTTTGCATCACAAATTCCTACCTTTATGAATCTGTCTTGGTTCAGAATATGCCTTGTCATACCTTTCCCGACCCTTTCTCCTTCTTAAGTGAAACTCTGCTGTGAAGTTGGAGGATTGTCTTGTTAAAGCCCCCTGAGTGATGGGGGTAAGACAACTGGCTCTTGGTGCTGACTTCCCATTCTGCACTGACCCTGCTCAGCTTTTGTGAGAAAGCCAGGCTGCTTACAGGATATTTGGAGATAAGGGCCTTTGAGCCCTGTCTCTAACTTCTGACCTACCAGAAAATTAATCAGAACACTAGAGATTATTTTTTAACCTAGGTGTGAAAAAAAAGTGTTTGCATTTCGTGTTTTAGTACAAAATGAAATGCATTTCTGAAAGATATAACCAATATAGTTGATTAAAGTGGGTCTGGAGAAAACACATGTGATTATAAGTTTTGATAAAATCAGATGAGCCTAACCTCATGATTACAGAATATATTGTT